TTCAGCAGCAGGAGAAACTAGAGTCTAAGGCACAGTAGAAACCATCCAAGCTAAGCATTTTAGAGGTACCCCAAAACGGCCAACCTACAAAGACTTAAGTAATATACAGTTGAACCTTGACACAGGTTTAAACTGCAGGGGCCTACTTATACACAAGTTTTTTTCAATACTGTAATTTTTTCATACTGTTTTAACAGTTTTCTTTAGCTTGCTTTATTTTAAGAATACAGTATATTATACATTTAACAAAATGTCCTAGTTGACTGTTATTGGTAATGCTTCCGGGTCAACAGAGCCCATTAGTAGTTAAGTTTTGGGGAAGTCAACACTCCTGACTTCATGTTGTTCCAGTGTCAGCCATACATTTTTTTGCCCCAAGGTTCATGTGACCTCTATGTTAGACTACTGTTTAATAACTGAGCTAAAGGAAGAGATACTTAAGAAACTATAGAACATGTAGTTTTAGAAAATAGTATAGAAAATTCATTGAGGAAAGTACCATACGAATAAAAAAAATCTAGGCAGTGGAGATTCTGATGTCCAAATCATAATCATGAAAAAAAAGTGTGGCCCATTTATTTTAAAAAATGTCTCTGAGGTAACACAGACATTGTACTTACTTGAACAAAGACAAGACAAAGTCAATTTTTAAGAATATGCTCAAAAAGCTATAGAAAATGAAAATGATACATATAGACTATTGATAAAATGAAAAATTTGAAGGAAACATTCTGGATCTTAAAATTCACTAGAGCATTTCAAAAACATATCTGAGTAGGCAGATGAAAGAATCAGCAAACTTGAAGATAGATCAAAGAAATTTATTCAGTCTAAAATAGAAAAAACTGCTGAGAAAATAGATCCTAAGAGACCTGTGGGCAAACATCAAGTATACAAATATAATAAGAGTTTAAGAAATTATAGCAAAAGGAATATCTGAAGAAATAAAGGCTGAAAATATGTGAAATTTGATAAAAGATATTAATTTACAGACCAAAAAAACTCAAGAAGATCCAAATAAAAAAAAAAAAAGATATACATAATGGCACAATGTAATAAAATAGTTAAAAACCAAAGACACAGTCTTGAAATCAGCAAAAGAGAAGTGACTCTCCTGTAAAAAAAAAAAAAATTAAGGACCAATTTATCATCATAAACCATAGTGGCAAGGGTATAGTGAAATGACATATTCAGTAAGAGAGAAAAGCCAAAGAAGATTTTTATGTTTAGCAAAACTGTAGTTAAAAAATGAAGCAATAATTAAGACTGATAAAAGCTGAGGGCTGTTAGTACATGGCCTTTCAAGAAATACTAAAGGTAGGCCTTCAGATATAAAGAACGAAAGACAAATTTGAAGCCATGTGATGCAATAACAATGGGAAAGTTAATTACATTAGCAAATATGTCAATATTTTTGCATTTCTGTTTGTGACTTCTTTTTACAATATAATTTGAAAGACAAGCTCCAAATTTCATTAAAGGATAGTTTATCCTTAAACTACCTGCCAACATTCTGTTCCACAACACTTGCATTTTTTTTTCTGATGTTAAAACCAGGCTTTCACTCACACAGAGCCACCAACCATCCAAAGGGTACCTGCAACCTTTGCTGAGAACCGTCCCCTGACAACCAGCAGTACCAAAACCCTGTCACTAGACAAAAAAAAGAAGAGAGCTCCTGATAAATTGTTATGGTGAAAACACTAGGTGTTTTACCCAAAGATGGTCAGAACAAGGAATCAAGATGGTGTCTTTAGGTTTCTTTTTACATCCATACTGGTGTCCATGCAGAACTGATTGTTCCTTGGGATATGTTTTTTTTTTCCTTTTTATGCATGAAGTACCTGACTTGATGAAACACCACCATTACTTGAAAACAACAGCTAGCATGCCAACAGTGCTTCTGTTTTCCTTCAGATTTGAATACAGAGTTTGTATAATAGGGTGCAGGTGCAAAGAAATGGTTGTCTGTGGTGTGAAAGGAATGTCATTCTGTCACGATATAAAGTCATATAACAGACTACATTGAGGAAGGTGGGGTTAGCAGACCCTGATTATAAGCACTGGTGTAAATTCCCCAAGTCTAGTATGCAGGAATATGCCGAGGCCTAAAGAGACCTTTCCTGCAGACTAAGAATCTTGGGCACCTCAGGAGGACACTAGGAGGAACAGCGGGAAGATTGTGAAAGCCACCTATCTCCCCAAACACTGATCTTGGATTCTCTAGACATGAAGGAGAAAAGTGGAGGAAACAACTCCCCATTAACAATGGTTATGCTTGGACTGAGCTCAGATAGATTGGGAAGGTGCTTCCTAGATGTTCCTTAAGGCATAATCTGACTTTTTCAGTACCAGGGACTGGTGCTCCTATGAGACTCTAATGCCTGATGATGAGGTGGAGCTGAGGCGGTGATGTTATTGTGATGAGTGGCTGCTTCAAGTATAGATGAAGCTTTGCTCACTCGTCTGCCGCTCACCTCCTGCGACCTGGTTCTTAACAGGCCATGTGTAGACCTATTTTATACAGTGAA